CATCTGAAGAGTTTCCACAAAAAGATCCAAATTTTGAAGCTTCATCTGGGACAAGAGAATTCCAAACAAGTCCTGGCTGAGCATGCAGACAATCTGGGATTAGCCAGGAGCAGTTGGAAAATATATTGGGTAACTGAGGATAATTGAGAGCTGCATGTTTGAGAGGAAACAGCTTTTAACAGATTAAGGCTGTAAAAATAACAACAAACAGATGGGTTTCTTAGGATGCTTCCATTTCTTTAACTTGGTAAATTATGAATTAAGTCACCATATGAAATGTGATTAGAGCACACAGTGAGGGAATTTGGGCTAAAATCTCCTGGAAAACAGGCTGGATAAAAGGAAAAAAAAAAACCAAATAAACCACCTTGTGATGATGTGGGATTGCTTTATCCCTTTTATTTGGGTCTCTTTTTTATGGGGACTCCCAATTTAATATTGGAAAAAGTGATCCCCACCCTGCCCTTCCTCATGGAGAAGGGAGCTGGGCCTGCCCTTCCTCATGGAGAAGGGAGCTGGGTGTTGTTTGAGACTCTCCTGATGGGCAGGAGCCTCCCCTCCCCTGCTGAATCCACTCTTGGACTCACAGCTGGAAGTTCAGCACATTTTGGGCAATATTGAGAAATATTGAGAATATTTTGGGAAGCCTTGATGGAAAAGCATATTGAGAAATATTGAGAATATTTTGGGAAGCCTTGATGGAAAAGCATTGTAAGATATGGGAACACGGGCCAGGCTGAAGGGGAAATGTTTCCCAGGACATTTTTGTCACTCACAGCATCCAATTCCAGCTTCTGGAACAGAACCTTCCTCTTCCTCAGCCTCTTTCCCTCTCCTTTGGGCACTGCTGGGAAATGGGTTCCATGCTCTGCTTTCCTACTTTTATTTTTAAACCAAACTGTAACACTTTGAAGCATTTCTGCTCAGGGCACCTCAACTTGTTGTTCCTGCTTAAAAGTGATAATCCCCCCTTAATCCAAACCTCAAGTGCCTGTTTTAATGAAACCTTCAGATGAATATCAAAGAGCTATTTACTCGTATCTAATATTTTAATTAGATTATATTCTCAATTTAACCCATTAAACCCCCTTTGATGAGCTCCATGTTCAGTGTTTAGCCCCAGATGCTGGAGGTAATGAATATTGGACCTTTGATTTAATGAGAACTTCTGCTTTTCCAGCCTGACTCCCTTTGTATCCCCCTTTTTTTTTTACCTTCTCTGGCCTATAGAATTCAGTTAATTGAAGAAGTCTCTTATCACCACACATTAAGGAACCTAAATTAGCATCCCTTTTCTGATGAGAAAATGCAAGCAGACATTTTCTCTTTGATCTGAGGGCTGAGTTGAAGTAGGCAACAGCCCCCTGAAAATGAGCTGATGGCTGCATTATTTGGCTGCCATGCAGATGTGTCCATGTGGTGCAAAATGCTTAATGTCTTAATTGATTGCCATCCTCCTCCCAGAAATTAGGGGAGAAATGTGTTCGTTTGAGGGGTTTTTTATTAATAAAACTGTTAATTTTTAGGTAATATTTTAATACTAATCCTGTGTGAAACTTGGATATGATGCTGCGTTTGGAGGAGCACATTTTGTGTATTTTTTGTTATTATTTTAATAACTTTATTATTTTTTTAATAAACACTGGTGATGATCATCTCATAAAACATTGAGAAATTCTGTTTTTCCTGGTGTTTTGGGTGTTTGAAACCCCAGAAAAATACACTTTTACATGGAATAAAAACCCCTTTCAAGCTACCTCCATAGAAATTCAGATTTTTCTCTGCACTTCACACAAAAAGGGACCAATGTGCATCCACCTGCTTAAAGGCAAAGGCCAAAACCGAATGTATTTCAGATTAGGAAGGCAAAATATGTAAATTATATATTTAAATTCTATATATTTTTAATTATATTGTTTATTTATTTAAATATGAATATTTAAATAAAATATTTTTTAAATTAATTTAAAATTTAAATTTATTTTTTTTTTTAAATTAAACATTTGAATGTTTAATGAAGTATTGAGGGAGGAGCAGGACTACCATGGTCCTGTGGTGTCACTGAGCGTGGTGACACCATGGTGATCCAATGGAAATTCACAATATTTTTTTGGCAGCACCTTCCCAGTGCCATCATTTCTCAATATCTGAGGTTCTGGAGGTTCTGCAGCTGAAATCACCTTCAGTGGGCAAAGACTTGAGGTCAGTTCTACCTAAAATATCTTGCTGTAATAACATCCCCATGGTGTTTCTTCCAAAAATAATCAAAGTTGGCTTCCCAGCCCTCACAAAAGGCAAGAGCAGGCTGCTGACAGCCTCAAGAACATTAAGTTAAAAACATTAAATAAAGCAAAACCTCCCAGCCATCATTCCAGCTCTAAAAAAGAGATGGGGACTGAAACCAGATGAGGTTTTGCCCAACTCCTGCAGTGCCTGAACGCTTCAAACAGCCAGGAAGGAGCTCTGCTGTCACACCTGATTGTGTTATCTCCTGCCAGGGATCCAATCTTGTCCTTGTTGCCCAAACCCGAGGGTTTTCCATGAGAGAAAAAGCAGGAATGTGGAGAAAGGAGCAGCTCTGGTGTGAGGAGGAGCTGGAGAAGCCAGGGATGGGTGAGGGCACAGCCTGGTGGGTGAGAAGTGATGCTGAGCCAAAATCCTGCAGCTGGAGGAGCATTTCAGTCTCAGGAGTGGGGAGCTGCAGGTGCTGCTCAGGCTGGCTTTGTCCTGCAGCCCCAGCAGGATGCACAGCACCAGAGATCCCCAGTCTGGAGTGGTTTCAGGAATTGCTGAAATGTGGGCAGCTCACCTTCGCTCCTGCCATGGCCAAGCCGGGGCAGAAAAGCTTAAAATCGGCTTCTTCCATGGAAAAATTCACCCTCACAGGTCCAAAAGCCACCTGTGGGATCAGGATCACACATTCACACCCTCCTGCCTTGCCAGGAATTAACACTGGGAGCAGCTGTCCCTGCCCGGCTGTGCAGCCACCAGGGGCTCATCCAAGCTCTAGAAACAGAGTAAACCAAATAATCCAGAAATCTGGAAACAGGATAAATCCTAGAAACAGGATAAACCAAATAATCCAGAAATCTGGAAACAGGATAAATCCTAGAAACAGGATAAACCAAATAATCCAGAAATCTGGAAACAGGATAAATCCTAGACACAGGATAAACCAAATAATCCAGAAATCTGGAAACAAGATAAATCCTAGAAACAGGATAAACCAAATAATCCAGAAATCTAGAAATGGGATAAACCAAATAAACCAAAATCTAGAAACAGGATAAACCCACGAAACAGAAATCTAAAAACAGGATAAATCCATGAATCCAGAAATCTACAAATAAAATAAACCCTAGAAACAGAAATCTAGAAATAAGATAAACCCAAGACCAAATTTTTTAAGCCAAGACCATCCAAGCAGGAGTGAGCAGTTGATGAAGGTGATGCTGTTTAAGAGAGGAGAATCCCCTCAGCATTGTCCACACCCACAGCAGCTTCACTTCAGGACATCATTTGTGATAAAAAAATAAAATGAAATCCAGAAATCAGCAGAGAGAAATCATAGAAAGAATTTTACATCTTGCCCAGATTATTGCTGGCCTTGGGTTATTTACACCTTCCCCACAGTAATGACCCTCCATGTGTGTGTAACAGCAAGAAATTCAAATTATTTGCTCTATAACTGCCCTTACAACCTATGTCTGATCTGTTTTTATGGAGTTCTGGCCATGGAATGAAAGAATTGAGGTTGGAACTGCTTTCTAAACCTATAAAAGTTCAAAATGTTTAAGGCAGCACACAGGAAAATGCTCAAAATCCAAATAGAAAGCAAAGGCTCATGGCAGGATTTTATAGATTTGGATTTTCTATAATGAAAACAACAACAAAAAGAAAGCATTAACCACTTGGGTCTT